ATTTGTTTACATTTGAAACTTAGTAGAATAATAAATTGTCTGTTTCTGCACCAACTTCAGTGTCTTTTTGTGAGTCGGCCAAAAGTAAACTTTCAGTTTTGTGCACCGAAAAATCTGTCTTCCTGTCCGCTGGCTGAATTCCATGTTCTTACGTAGAAACTGTAACTTTAAAACTTAGTTTTTTTTTAACTGTTTTTAATTGTATTTGATGTTTTATGTTTCACAGTATTTTACAACTTTTAACGGAGATGTTTTGAGATTTTACGTATTTTTGCTTTGGCGCCGAATAAGAATTGGAATTGATTGAATAAGAAAATTTCTCGTGGCCATCGCGATTCTTCGACCAGGAATTTTGGTTCTGGTTTTATCTGTAATTTACGGTATACAAATCAAAACCACGAGATTTCTCAGAATTGAAAGATGCCATAAGGTGTAAAGTTATAAAGATTCTTCTTGAGATGTTATTTTCATTATTTTATCAACGATTTTCCCCATGGAATGAGCTATCGTGTGCGAAGTTGAGCCTGTTGAAAAATTGACAAATAACAATATCAGGAAATTCATTTCGATTGAATAAGTGGATAGGAGTTCATATATTAAGGAAGGTTTTTATAACTATTCTGTTAAGAACGCATGATATTCCTTGTTATTGCAAATCTACCTTAAGATGTGTTCAGTATGTCAGAGGTATTCTGAAATGGTTAATAATGAAATATCCGATTTTTTAATTCATAAAAATAAATGTAATAGAGTTTATAAAGTAGAATGTAAATGAAGTTGGCTAGTGAATGAAGTTGTAAACTGAATTCAAAAAAGTGTGTTGACGTTATGTGTTAGAAATAAAAGTGCGTCAAAGAAGCAAAATTTCAAGAGATGAATTGGTAATTGGGTAAAATAGTTTAACACTGGTAATTCACTTCTGATTCGGTACTGAAATGTTGGTCTCGGGAATTTCTTTCTACGTTATGTGTCGTAAACAATCGCTAGTTTCTCTTGAAAGTTGTGCATAAAGAGAGAAATAACTGTAATTAGAGCAGAAAAAAGGAAGCAAAGTAAAATTTGCATAGTCTATAAGGTATTTCTCCCGCCTTCTTAGCAGTCCTTCATAGTGTAGTGCTCTGCACGCTGGGCGCGTATTCCAGAGGTCAGTGGTTCGATTCCTGGCGAAAGCGTTGCTCATTTTTCCTCTTTCCTGCTTCCAAAAAATACCTAATGTCTCTACAGTGACGCACGAAATAAAAGGGTGGTGGATGATGATCCTCCACATCCAGGATTTGGCGATTGGGTCCCCTAAAAACCCCAGCCGCCCTTTAAAAGGGGAAGTATATATGGTATTTCTTCCGCCTTCTTAGTATTTCTTCTTAGTGTAGTGATGTGCACGCTGTGAGCGTATTGCAGAAGTCCGTGGTTCGATTCCCGGGAAGGGTGTTGCTCATTTTTTATCTTTCCTGTTTCCAAAAAATGTCTAACGTCTCTACAAGTCAGTGCATTTGAAGTATAAATAATGGTATTAATGTAAAATAAAAAATTAAGTAAAATATAAAAAATGAAAATATTAATATATGTAAAATATAAAAATAATGAATTTAATATTAATGTAAAATTAATATGTAAAATGTAAAATAAAAAAATTGAATATTAATATAATGTAAAATATAAAAATAATGGACTAGTTAGCGAAAAGTTCTGAGTTAAAACATCAACTGTTAGAAATCATAAGAAAAATTTATATATGAGTGAATGGAACATTCAGTGCAATCCTAAAATTACTGATGAAAGCAATGACATTATTCTAAAAAGCAAAATGAAATTAATAGCTCTTCTGGGCTAACGCCCTTTGAGCTAAAAATCATATTTAAAATTATATAAAGATCATTTACATGAACAGAAAATACAAATAAGTTAAAATTAAGAGTATGTTGGCTATGTAAAAAATTCTGTGTAAAATGGAATAAAACAATCAAATTAATAGCGTTAACAAAACGGAAAATAAGTCTATTATTAGAAACAGAAAGTTTAAGAAATAAGTTAAGTTCAGAGTATATTGGTTAAAATTACTACAATAATTAAAACATTGCATCTAAAACTGAGGAAAATTCATGTGAATCGGTCATTAAAGTCGAAAATAACAGTGTTATGGACACACATGGATGGGAACTGTCAAAGGAAATTATGTCAATGTCACAGGAAAATCAATAAAAGATAATCTCTTATCAAAATGTCTCTCTTATCGTGGTCCTTCCCCCTTATCAGCTAGCTCGTAGCCCCCCCCCCGGAGCGCTCGTCCGCAACATCCGCATCCGCAATGAGCGCTCATCCGCAATTTACGCATTACTAAGTTAATCTTAAGATTACCCAGATAAATGTTCCCAGACTGGTAGCCCGTGGGCCGTATGCTGCACCGAAGCAACTTTATGCTTCCCGCGAAAACATTTTAATTATGTGCTTGTTGCAAATATGTTATTGCAATGATTTCAAGATTTTGGTTATTTGAAGTCCGAGTTTATGCTATGTTAATTCTCATCGAAAATGAATATAAAGAGAGCACAAGAAAATCTATAAACTGAACTAATTAATATAAAATGTGATTCAAATCTTATTCAAAGATTTAAAGATACATATTTTATGAACATCTATTCGTACTTGTCAAAAATAAATTTATAAGGCATTTTCTCCCTCCTTCCAGCATGCGTTTGTGGTGTAATGGTAGCACACTCGGTGCGTATTCGAGAGGTCCATGTTCGAGTCCCAGCGAACGCATTGCGGATTTCTTCTGTTTCCCACTCCAAAAAATCCTAAATAGAGTCTACAGTGGTGGTGCCCGAACTAAAAGGTGGTGGACAATAATTTGTCCCCCCCCGCCAGGATTTGGCGACTGGGTTCCCTAATTGTTGCCCTTTAAAACGAGAAGTATATAAGGTATTTTCTCCCTGCTGTCTGCATGCCTTCGTGGTGTAACGGTAGCACAGTCGGAGCGTATTCGAGACGTCCAGGTTCTAGTCCCGGCCAGGTCATTGCTCATTTTCATGTCTCTTAGTAGTAATAACCTAGTACTAAACCTAGTAGGCTCTACAAACTAACCTAGTACTAATAACCTAGTAAGCTCTACAAACTAAGCTAAAAATTTTGCGCTAAGAGAAATTGTCTTGTTTCGGAATGCATTTATATACGAACAGCTTTTTTTCACAGTTGGAAATTAAGGTACTATTCGGTTTTGAGGGCCGTAAAATATCGCCAAACTATTGCTGATGCCAATGCTGCCAAAAATAATTGCGGTAATCCTAATGCAAGAAAGGAAGTATAATAGTAAATGACTATCCAAGATTGATGTCTTAAATTAGATGAAAGGTTAATTTCATATTGTTGCTTGCGTACGGTTTCGTTACGAAATGAATGCACAAGTCCGATGAAAAATGAACAAAAATTTATTATTATCACAACAAAAATGCTTAAATCTTCTCAAATTATCATGCAGTATTACAATATCTCACAGTAGTTATCTTTTAACTACTCAAATGTCCAATAGAACGTAATTCAAAACAGCTAAAGAAAGCTAATCCGCGAATTCGCTACAATCAACAAGAGCAGTTTTCTAAACAACAACAAACTAAGCAACTACCACAAACTGAGATGTTTTCCTCCTTTTATAAGATTTTAAAATCACGCGCTAGAATTTTCCAGTACTTTTTCGAAATCAAAAAGAGATATTTATTTATTTAACGCACGAGCTCTTGTATTTTAAATTTTCCGGCTTAGCTTTCTTTTAATATTCGTCACGCGCTGCACTGCGCGAGAAATAAAACCATTTATTTTATAACTGAACTAACATTAGCTTTTTAAATACCAAATTCGTAACAATATAATACTTTTTTATTATTATAATTTATAAAGAAAAGGCTAAACATGACTGAATGGAAGCAAAAGAGTAAATAACTATTTCAGATCATTATTATAATTTATATAAAAATTGCTAAGCATAACTGAATGGATGCCTGCATCGCTATTTCGCTACCGACTTATCGCTAAAGCATAATTTCATCTCGTTGGTTGTTCAAACGTAATTTTCTACAATGAATGATGCCTTTTCTTTGAAAATATTCTCAGTAAAGTGCAGAATCGCTCACTTATTTGTTTGCCGCTTTTTAGAAGGATAAAAACAATTGGATTTTTGTCAATTTTCTTTTACTTTTTAAGTGAAAATAGGTCGATGTGTACATAGATAAAGTCAAGGGTGTGCGCAGTGCCATTTTTGTGCAATTCTGGGATTATTTTTATGTGAAAATAGGTCGATGTGCACATGGATACCGAGTATGTGCAATTCTTAAAAACGCGTCAAGCAGTGGATGATTCTGCACTTCACCCAAAATTCTATTGCCGACTTTTCGTCATGGGCAATTCCCAAATTGTTAAATCCATAGGATATCAAAAAAGGATTTAAAATCAAAAAAGAATTTAAAAATTAAACTAAAATTTCTATGGTGTCTTAAAAAATATACAACTACATAAACTTACGCAATCTGAAATCAGCTCGTGCGCTAGATTTGGTGCTCTGTTCAATGGGCGCGTTCGCTAGATTTGGCGCTTTCGCTCATACATTTTCGCTGCAATTTTTTTTACGGTCCTCAAAACGGAATAGTACCGAAATTAATAAGTAAAGACCCTGTGACAAATAATTGCCTCTCAAAAATGCTCCAAAGTCAATAACGATTCATTAAGACTCCAAGTTGTTTAATAAAACACATTTATTAGACGTAAGCACATAGAAACTCAATATGTGCATCTTTAAATATCACAAAAAGATGCCATTTCTTCTTATAATTTAAAACACAGCATAAAAATTACTCTTAAAATTAAAAAGAATAGAACAGATTTAGCAATATTTTTTACTGTTGCCAGAACCTAACTACTAAAAAATCGCGCAGTTACAAACACGCCAAAAATGAAATTCAGCACGCATTATTTAAAGATAAAAATTAAATATAAACAAAATAATAACTTACGCTTGTAAATATTTGAAAGATACAATTTTTCACATCCTGATTCATCGATAAGCATCTACAAACCGCGATGAAGATAATATCTCATAATTTCCGCCCAAGGCTACAAACTTTAACAGAACCGAAAAGCCGCCATGTGTCAAGCTGTAACAAGAAATAAAAAGCTTATAATTATAATCCTATAAACAAGTATATTTTCATCAAAAAATAAATAACACAGGCTAAATTTTTACTGTTTAGTCTTCCATAGTGTGGAAGTCCTAATTTGAATTTGAAATTTGTTTTATTATCGATTTCACATTTTATAACACTTCAACGAATTTTTGATTAAAAAGATAAACGATTTCAACGCGAGATATGGCAACGTTGTACAGAAAAACCATTTATCGTTAAACGGTGTACAAAAACATTAGACTGCAATAAATGTTGTACATTAAATGGTGTACATAAACGTTGTATATTAAACGTTGTACAGAAAAAAACATTAGTCTGCTAATCGGAAATTCTAAAGATATGCTCAATTTAAAATTATTTGACGGTATTGCTTTTGAACTGAATTTTCTGGTTTAATTGCGAAGAACATGATATTTAATAAATAAAGGTAACAAATAAAATATTAAATTACGTAATTTAAAATCTAAAACCTTTCAGATTTTTTTGTTTAAAGTCAATTATTTAATGATTAATTAAACATATTAGATTTATTTGAAAGAAGTAACCGTCTAAGAGTTTAATATTTAGGTGTCAGTTTAATTGAATTACAAAGCATAATCAACAAAAATGTCTTATAGATACCAAAGATTACCTTGAGATTTCTTAAGATTTCAGATGGAAAATAAATATAAACTAGCTGCCAAGCCCGCCAGATGAGCGCGCTGTAGCCAAAGCAAAAATTTTAAGTTCTATGCATGACTGCGTGTTTAGTTTTATATTTCGAATATATAAAGAGTTTCCGGTAAGATTTTTGAAAAGAAATATATGGGAGATATTTCGCAGTTAAACGAAAAACAGGAAAATATTTTTTAAAATCCACAATTTAAAAAAATTCGTAAATATTTGATCCTACCTCTGTTTAGAAAAAACAGATGTAAATTTTAAAATTCCACCTCGTACGTGTTTCGACACAGCACGCCGTACAGCAACGAAATTCAGGGAAAAAAACCAACTTGCAGGATGCGAAAATTCCGGAAAACTTAGTTTATAGATGATTTCACACTTTAATGGAACAAATTAGGTAATGTGCAGATTAATTATATGCACATTAAAGACTTTCGAACTTTAATGGTACCATATGTATGGAAGTAGACTAATAAATCATGCGTAATCATTTATTTACCGATACTCAAAACTAGTATAAATTAACGGTATATGCTAATTTATTTACAAATCACGGTATACTGACAAACGATAACCATTTGACATATCGTTGGATGTGTGTTTCAATATCACAGGAGATATAAATGTTTATAAATGTATCGTTTTATTGCATTCATGAGGGCACTTAAAATATTGTCGAGCCGAAAGTTCACTCGAGTGGTTAAGGCAAGAAGAATAGGAGCTCAATTAATTCCGTACCAAGTGGGTATTTTCAATCAAATCTGGGACAAAGTTGGGCAAATTCATACTCTCACCTAGAAGGTGCACAAGGCTTTTTGTAAGGACAGTTCTTTCCTTCTTCGACATAAAAAAAACATAGATATGATATGGATGCCTAGGATCAGGAGAATTAAAAGCAATAACAGCTAAGAGTCAGTTCAATGTATATAAGTACTTATAAAATAGTTTTTGATTACATTTATTAGAACAAAAAGGCTAATGGGCATTTTTCGTCGAATGGCTGTATCATTTTTCAAATTGTTGCCACCAAATGCTATTACCCTGTATTACATTTAAAGAAATTAAATAATGAAGAATCTGCATGGATGCATGTATGTTCCTCGCATTTTGAAAAAACAATGGTATCTAGAGCCATTAAATTTTGAATAATTTAGTTCTGCACTCGAATATGGGCGCTTGGAAGACCGAATCTTGAATTTCGAATTTGTTTGATTATCTATTTCATATTTTTAAACTTTAACGAATTTTCGATTAAGAAAATTTTAGAGTCATTAGGTTTTACGAAAGCAAGAGGCGTGGAAAATGAGCAATGCTCTCAACTGGACCCTCTTGAATATGCGCCGAGTGCTCTGCCGTTACACCATGAAGGCATGCGAAAAGGAGGGAGTAAGTACCGTATATACTCCCCCCTATCAGAGAGCGTTTGAGGATTAGGGTACCCAATCGCCAAATCCTGGTGATTTGGTCACATCCCGAGGATAATACAGGTAAAATTCTGGTGATGACGAATTATCGTCTATCACCTTTTAGTTCGGGTGCCACTGCTGAGTCATTAGGTTATTTTGAAGCAAGAGCAGCGAAAAATGTTCAATGCCTAAGGTCAGGACTCGAACCTGGAAGGCATGCAAAAAGGAGAGAGAAAATACCTTATGAACTTAACAATTTCAAAGCCAGCAGTGGCATCACACTGTACGGAATAAAACATTTATATCCAGCACGCGAGACTGTCCATCAGAAATTCTAAAGTTATGCTGTTTTTAAATATTTTAATTCAAAGGGGCGTTAGCCCAAATGCTCTTCAAATAATGTGGATGTATGTGTAAATGAAAAAATCTGATGTGTACACCACATGACTTCCTTGTACGGAATATAAAATTATACGCATTTTTTCTTGCATTTCATTTAACTTATTGGATTGAATTAAATCTACTTCGCCGACAGCGCATAAACCACAATAGAATAAATGCATTCTTTAAAATTTACTCTAGTATTTGTTTACCATAGCTAAACTCTGGCGCTAGATTCACTTAACAGTATTATATTTCGTTCATATTATAACTCATAATGCACAAAATTTATATCATTGAAAGAATAGAATTATCTAATCGTTGCCACATGTTCTATTTAAATACTATAATAAAGATAGAACGATGTATAAAAGAAATTAAGCAAACAAAACAAAAAAGAAACAGTTTTTCACAGACGATTGAGTATTTCTCATTCAATTAATTCAATTCTCACTTCGCGAGAAGGCAAAAATACATAATAACTCAAAATATCTATATTACAAATTACGATATAAATCTTAAACACTTATTTCCTGGAAAAAAATTCCAGAAAGGATTAAGCATGGTTTAATTGCCAATAATAAATGAAGGCGTTATCTTTGTTGTTGCGAAGCTAAGTTTCTTTAGATTGGCAACAAATCCACTAGTCTGCTGTTTCAAATGTAAACAATCAATGGCCGCCATAAAAATAGCGGCACTTAAACTACTTTAAAATTGTTGATAATTCTACAAATATTCCATACAGATTTATTAAAGGCATAAAAACCTTAACCGGAAGGTAAAAACAACATAATACAATCATTTTTAAAGCAAAAAATGTACAATTTACAAACATATCAGAGTAAAGAATCTGAGATTACTGAGCCGGGTAACAGAGTGGATATATATATATAAATATATTTATAGACGTTTGGTGCGGCCGATTGCAACCAAAATACGAGGTGCACATCTACATGTTATAGCCGTCCTATATACAAAATTTTAACGTTCTGAGGCTACTCGTTTTTTTGTTATGCGAGATACGTACGTACGCACGTACGTACATACGTTCGTACAGACGCCACGAAAAATTCTCATCAGAATTCATTTTAAAGCAGTTTTATAATTTTTTTGAAGGAAAAGAGTATTTTATTCTGTCCTTACCTACAGATATCACGCAAAAACATCGTTAAATTGTATTCGATAGCGGTCAAAATGGATATTTTCTTTGAAATATGCTGCCTGAAACTTTTCGTGATTACAATATTTCCTTTTTACTTCGTGTAAGGAAATGAAAAGATAAGCATTTATTACATTCTTCAACATTGTTTATATCAATGAAACATAAAAAACGCTTATACAATATAGCATTTGCTAACTTTAATGAATAAGTAACACAAGCGATGAAATATTTTATATTGACACTTTTCTATACATTTCGTTAATTTTTTTACACTAATAATTACAAACACAAGACATCACAAAAACTTGTAACAACACATTAAGTTTCGATATTTTCTCACAAAAACTCGTCTCGCTTCTTATAGAAGTTACTGATATATTTTATATAAAATAATATTTGTGAGCCAAGAATTTTTCATTCTGTAAATTCGATGAAAATGAGTCTTTTTAACTATTTAAATTACAGCAAATGAAAATCTAATTTTGCTGAAACGCGTAAGTTAGCAATAAATCATCTCACGCAATTCCAATCAACACTGAAGTTTTAACAAACGTCAACAAAAATAACGCAATCAAATATTTAATAACTTTTACACTGTATTCATTACTTACTTCATCGCTTCTAAAGTCACGCGCGCTGCAATCAAAAACAAAGCTACTTAGTTATCCATTCAACGTTTCGGAACAACATGTTCATTCACGATTTTTGCTCGGAAATTCGACACTAGGGTAATTAAGAAAACAGGATATCCCAGAAGCTGTTAGTAGTTGAAACCTAATTAGCTGCGGTCATTAATTAATCAACCTGCGGCAATCTTGTTTTGTGGTTTTTGCATCAGTTGTCAAAGCAGAGAGAATTGTCGAACTCACAGTGTCGAATTTAGTTTTCCAAAAAGGAAATGACGCACACTTCATGTTTCAGTTCTTATTTTTATCACCAGATTGCCAGAGAGAAGTTGTAAATTGAAAACTAGGTCAATTTAAGGTTTTGAATAGTTTTTGCAGTTGTTTCCGAAACTTTACAAGTCTCGATTAACACAGAATGTACAAAGTTTTGCCCACAAAAGCCCTGGACCCATTAGAAAATTAGCCTCGGAAAAGTACAAGCGTTCGAAACACTAAACTTATAAATGCTGTTAAAATATATATAATCATAACTAACATTATATAATCGTATTTTATATACATAATCATAACTAACATGTAACATTACTTTCAAACCTTAGGGGCTTTACCAAAGCCAATCCAACTAACTTTTAATTCAGACTAAAATAAACTGAATTATATAAATATAGATTAAGCCAAAGCAAGTTACTGTTATTTACTTACAGCTCAGCTATCTAAGAGGAGAGATACTTT